AGGTCAGGACTCAGGTCAGTCAAGTTCTTCCACACCAAACTCGCTCATCCATGTCTTTATGGACCTTGCTTTGTGCACTGGTGCGCAGTCATGTTGGAACAGGAAGGGGCCAAACTTCCCAATCTGTTCCCACAAAGTTGGGAGCGTGAAAATGTCCAAAATCTCTTGGTGCTGAAGCATTAAGAGTTCCTTTCACTGAAACTAAGGGGCCGAGCCCAACTGCTGAAAAACAACCCCACACCATAATCCCCCCTCCACCAAACTTTACACTTGGCACAATGCAGTCAGACAAGTACCGTTCTCCTGGCAACCGCCAAACCCATACTTGTCCATTGGATTGCCAAACGGAGAAGCGTGATTTGTCACTCCAGAGAACACGTCTCCACTGCTCTAGAGTCCAGTGGCAGCACTTTACACCACTGCATTCAACGCTTTGCATTGCGCTTGGTGATGTAAGGCTTGGGTGCAGCTGCTCGGCCCATTCCATGAAGCTCTCTACGCTGTTCTTGAGCTAATCTGAAGGCCACATGATGTTTGGAGGTCTGTAGCGATTGACTCTGCAGAAAGTTGGCGACCTCTGCGCACTATGCACCTCAGCATGCGCTGACCCCACTCTGTCATTTTATGTTGCTGTCGTTCCCAGTCGCTTCCATTTTGTTATAATACCACTGACAGTTGACTGTGGAATATTTAGTAGTGAGGAAATTTCACGACTGGACTTGCACAGGTGGCGTCCTATCACAGTACCACGCTGGAATTCACTGAGCTCCTGAGAGTGACCCATTCTTTCACAAATGTGAAAGACTGTAGAAGCAGTCTGCATGCCTAGGTGCTTGGTTTTATACACCTGTGGCCATGGAAGTGATTGGAATACCTGAGTTCAATGATTTGGATGGGCGAGTGAATACTTTTGGCAATATAGTATATTATTGTGAATTGGAAGCATCCAGGAGCAGCAACAGTTTGGTCATGAAGCGGTAGACCACGCAAACTCACAGAGTAGGGCTGCCGAGTGCTGAAGTCCATCGCGTGTAAAAATCATCTATCCTCTGTTGCATCACTCACTTCAGAGTTACAAACTGCCTCTAGAATCAACATGAGCACAAGAACTGTGCATCAGGAGCTTCATGAAATATGTTTCCTTGGAGTGTGTAAAGCATGCTGCCACTGGACTCTGGAGTAGTGGAAACATTCTCTGGAGTGATGAATCATGCTTTACTGTCCAGCAATGTCATAGACAAATCTGTGTTTGGTGAATATCAGGAGAACGCTACCTTCTGGAATGCACAGTGCCAACAGTAAAGTTGGTGGAGGAGGGATAATGGTCTGGGGCTGTTCCAGCATGACTGAACCCCACTGAACACCTTTGGGATGAATTGGAACGTCGATTGGGATCCAGGCCCTCTTGTCCAACATCAGTGTCTGACTTCACAAATGCTCTTTTGACTGAATGGGCAAAAATTCCTAGACACACTCCAAAATCTTGTGGAAAGCCTTCCCCGAAGAGTGGAGGCTGTTGTAGCAAAAGGGGGGAGTGACTCCATATTAATTCCCCTGGTTTTAAAATGGGATGTCCAACATGCTCATGTAGGCGTGATTGTCAGGTGTCCACACTTTTGGCCATATAGTGAATATTCATATGTTGACACTCAGTAAATATATCTGGAATTTCAGTGCGAAGCCATCACATATGTTGACACATTGTGCATTTATTTAGGATGAGGAATATATTTGGAAATATATTTGGAAATCATCACGTGTATTGTACATATATTCGCCATAAAATAAAGAGAAGTATGCACATTTTTCTTCTGTATAGGCCTCATACCCCTATGTGACATATTTTAAAGGGGAACTGGAGCTTTCAGCTTTATTACTTTTGTTAGATTCTCTCCTGCAAGAACTTTCCAGTTCAGTCGGTCGCATTACTGCTAGTGCCACATCAGTGCTGTTTTGCTTGTAAATGATATTTTGATGTGCGACTGATTCTCTCTCTTTCTGTCTCTCTCTGTCTTTCTCTCTCTGTATATCTAAACCACTCTTCTTTCTCTGTTTTCTCCTATTGTTTCTCTCTCTTTCACTCTTATTTCTCCTTTTCTGTCTTAATATTTCTCTATTTCTCACTCTCTCCCTCTCTCTCTCTTTCTCTGTTCCTTGTTCTCTCTCTCTCTCTCCCTCTCTCTCTTTCCCGCTCTGTATTCTCATTGTCTTGTAAACTTGTCCTGTTACTAATTTAAGCTGTAACTGGTGAAAAGTGTAGTTAGTAATACAGCATGCGGCCACAAGGGGGCAAAAGAGAGCAACTCGCCTGCTGGGGCTCCATAGATGGAGATTCTCTGTAGTTTATCAGGTAGATTTAAATATACAGCAGGATTTTGGGCTGTTTTTTAGCCTGTTTGCTGCAAAGTGGATTAAACTGAAATTGTAAATAGGTACCAATTAAAAACTAACATGAATAACCCAGAGTTGTAGGATTACACAAAACATGCGACATAATTGGATTACTTTAGGATTAGCATGGGATTACTTTAATCTTTTTTCAGATTTCTTATGTAGCTGTTGTGAATTAACCAGTAAAGTTTCAGAAGTGTAATAAGTAAAAAAATATATATATTTCATGTTTTGAATGAAATTTGAATGAAAAGTTTGGTTACCATTATTTTTTTAACAATCCAAAATATATTCATGCAATCCTTAGAAAAGTAAATGTGACAATAATAATAATACATAATTTAAAAAAGAGATTCTTAGCCTGTTAAGATTTTATTGCAAAAAAAGTTGCATCCCTGCTCTGCGTCATAATCAGAGAACCAGACAGACAGGATAGATAGATAGATAGACAGATAGACAGACAGATAGACAGACAGAAGGATGGATAGATAGGTAGATAGATAGATAGATAGATAGATAGATAGATAGATAGATAGACAGGCAGACAGAAAGACAGATAGAAAGACAGAGAGAAGGGCAGACAGGCAGACAGATGGACAGATAAATTAGAATTAAAACAGGTAAATTAGTTAAACAAAAGGTGGTCTCAGTACAGTTAGTCTGTTTTTCCCTCTGAAACACTGAATGCGTTTACACGCAATTAATAATCTGATAACTGCAAAAAATCAGATTTTGTCAGTAATCCGATCAACACGTTTACATGCACTTGAGTAATCAGATAATGGGGAAACTCCACGTTTACATGAGTCAGGCAGTAATCAGATTTCTGCTTTGCAACCAGCCAGTAAACTCACAGAAGAAGACGTGACGTAAACATAATGTAAAACTCAAACTTCATGCTGCGGCTTTTTTTTAAACATCGAGCCCTTTTTTATATGAACATACATCATCTAGAAGATGAAGAAAAATTAAAATTTAAGTCCTTCATTTAGTCAAGCATGTAGTTGATTTCAGTGTTGCTCCAAAATGTTTTGCTGCGTCTCGCAGCAACGCTGCTCGCTTATTTACGGTACCGCTGTCTGTTTTCACACATGCGCAGACTGAGAAATGCGAAAGAAATCAGAGTAAGAGTTCACATGCACTGAGAAATCTGATTACTGAGCTAAAATGCAGCTCTCTTTATCAGATTTCTTAATCAGATTTCTTACTCTTATCTAAGAGTGTGCTGTTTACATGACCATTTGAATAATCAGATAACTGTAGACATGTGATCAGATTATTGAGTGCACTCACTGTGATGTAACAGTAGGACCCTGCAGGCTGTCTACCTGTGTGTGTGTGTGTGTGTGGTATTGTGACCAGACTCAGGGTGTGTTTTTCTTTCTTTATTGTGTGTGTGTGTGTGTGTGGAGAGAGAGAGACAGACCCCAGTGAGACGCTGCATTAGGTGTGTGTGTGTGTGTGTCTGTTGGTGGTCTCTCTCTGCTGTAGTGTGTGAGTTTGATCATGAGATCACTGTGAGCCGGCGGGGAGGTGAGACACTGTAAACAATAAATCAGCTTCATCTCTGCTCTTACTGTGTGAACTGGAGCCCTGAGGCCGTGTGCCTCTGAAGGTGTCCCTCTTTCACTCACCCTCTTTTCTCTTTTTCTTCTCCCTCTTTCCCCCTCTCTCTCTTCTCGTCTATGCTCTACGGTGTCTCCTTTTAACTTCTTTCACTACTCTCTCGCTGTGTATCTCTCTCTTTATGGTTTTCTCTCTCTAATTCTCTCTCTGTTTCTTTTTCTTCTCTCTCCTCTATTTCTTTCTCCTTTTCTTTCTGTTTCTTTGTTTCTCTCCTTTCCTCTCTTGTTTTTTCTCTCTCTATCTTTCTGTCTTTCTGTTTCTCTCTGGTTTTATTTGCTTCCCTTTCAAACTCTGTTTCTGTCTTTCTTTTTCCTCTTTTTCTTTCTCTATCCCTCTTTCCATCTCTCTCTGTCTTTCTGTTTCTCTCTGTTTTCTCTTTCTCTCTCTCTCTTTCTCTCTCTCTCTCATTTTTCTCCCTCTTTCTTTCTTTTTACTTTTCTCTTTCTTCTCTTACTTACTTATCTATCTATCTATCTATCTATCTATCTATCTATCTATCTATCTATCTATCTATCTATCTATCTATCTATCTATCTTTGTTTCTCTTTCTATCTCTCTTTTTTCCCTGTTTGTTTTTCTGTTCTTTCTCTGACTTTCTTCGTCTTTCTGTTTGTCTTTTCTCTTTCTTTCTCTCTCTCTTTTGTGTCTCACTCTTTCTCTCTCTCCTGCCTCTCTTTCCTCTCTCTCTCTCTCTCTCATTTTTTCTCCCTCTTTCTTTCTCTCTGTTTACTTTTCTCTTTGTTCTCTCTATCTTTGTTTCTCTTTCTATCTCTTTGTTTATTGTTCTCTGTTTGTTTTTCTCTTCTTTCTCTCACTCTCTCTTTTTTTCTCCCTCTTTCTTTCTCTCTGTTTATTTTTGTCTTTCTTCTCTATCTATTTTTGTTTCTCTTTCCATCTTCTGTTTCTTTTTCTCACTCTGTCTCTGTCTTTTTATCTCTCTCTCTCTCTCTCTCTCTCTCTCTCTCTCTCTCTCTCTCTCTCAGTTTTTCAGAGGAGGGGTGAGAAATGTCCGACTTGTCCGGCAGGTGGGAGACGGTGTGATTGGACAGTTTTGGGCAGAGAGTGACCGCTGGGTGAGATGACATCACTGCACTGAGGGAAATAAAAATGCAACAATCTGAAGAATTTGTCTGCATTGATTTTGAAATATTAGAGTGAACTGATTATCATGCTTTGTCCACAAATGCGACTGTTGCTAGGTTGGACAAGCTCCACAGAACATTGGCCAGAATCTTATTCAGCCTAAAGTGAACCTACAGCACAACACTACCGAAATACACTCTCAGAGAAAATGGTGCTAAACTGTCACTGGGGCAGTTCCCCTCTTGTCACACATCTCAGTACCTTTAGTCAGGGAACATAACTGTACCATAATCCATTGAAATGATATTTTCTAAGTTTTATTGACTCCACACACCCTGTTTCGTCCCCTTGCTCTGTTTTAAAAGATTCGGTTATGAAAAGGTGCAAATATGTACTTTTTACCTGGAAAATGTATTTAAGGTTCACAATTGAACCTAAAAACCACTGTTGTACCTTTGAGGGAACATTTACATTGTTTGTACCTCAATGAATAAAAAATGTACCTGCACAGGTCCATTTGTGCAGGTCCATTTAGAACTTTAAATGATAATTATTTTGTATCTATGCAGAAGGTCACACTTAGAATTGAGCAGGTCAAGTTTTTTGTGATCAAGCTAACATTAGCATGGTTTAAAACCTGCCAACTGTCAATTACTTACAGCAACACCGTTCAGCAATGCAGTATTTTCTGTAGTTACGTAGTGACTCTTAACAAGGTGTGCTATTGCATCCTATTATGTTGAATGGCATTTTGGCCAGCATCCGTAAAGCTTATCCAACCTAACAGCAGCGTGTGTGGGTGAAGAATTGATCGGTCAATTATAATCTATGAAACTGGAACTGTTTTCTAAAAAAATGTAATGTGAATTGTAAGACAGTCAATATAAAGTGTGACCTTCATTGATAGTGTTATAATTTATATCATTTTTAAAGTCCTGTATAAGTAGCACCACAATGTTAGCTGGGATTTCTAAATGAAGAAACTATTAAATAATTAATGCAAAAGATAAACGGTTGTGAACTTTCCTTCTGACTGGTGACTCTGTATGTTGTAAATACCTGCAAACCCTGGAATCTGTCCAGGGTTCATCCTGGTTTATGAAAAATGTAGTAACCCCACATATTTATTTGTTGAATTATTATTATACACACAGCAAATTTGCAGTGTGGGGTAACTCTTATAGTGTTGTATGAATGGTCTCTCTCTCTCTCTCTCTCTCTCTCTCTCTCTCTCTCTTTCCTTTTCTCTATCTCTCTTTCTTGCTCAGGATGGGACCCTCGGGGAGGTCCATGTGGCTCTTGCGGGTCATCTTCATAGTCGCCGTGGTGATGTTGTCATGCCGACCGGTGTCCGGGGGAACCCGAACTCTTCGAGGAAGTACAGGTACCCCAGGGTCACGCGCAGCTGACCAGATTAATTACTCCATGGCTGGAGACACAGTGAGTCAGATTGACTGATTACACATTGGAATGGACACCTAAAATATTGTGAAAAGGATCATGACATTTAACACTCAAATGAAAAGGCGAGGAAAGTGTTTAATTCACTGTAGTTATTGTGTAATAATGTAGTAAAAATGACCAGTTACAGCCTTGGTCATAATGTCCTCTACACTGAGGTGTTACCGTTTATTTCTTCAAAGGCAAGGTGAGCATCTACTGGGTATCTACAGGGAACCATCTAAATAAAGCATTACCATAAAGTGCTTCATAGTAGATACAGAAAAATTCATGCTGGATTTATAACTGGATAATAAACCTGCAGTTTAGGGGTTAAAGATGAGTCTATGGAGGGCCGTGAAAATACAGTGTTGTCATAAAGCGTTTCAACATAAAATAATTCATACTGGATTAATGACTCAAAGTAAGCCTGCAGTTAGACAGTTAAAAAGAATACGCCTATTGCACCTACAGGCCCATCAGAATGAAATGTTACTATAATGTTTTTTATTGCAGGCACTTAAAAACTCATACTGGATTAATAACTGAATAAGAAAGTGTTTCAGCATACAAACTGAAAAACTCATACTGGATTAATAATTCAATAATAAGCCTGCAGTTTTAGGGGTTAAAGATTAGGTTAGCGTGTGCTAAGCATCTAGAGGAGAATAAATGAAGCATTATCATTAAGTGTTTCATGGCAGATGCTGAATAATTCATACTGGACTAATAACTGAAATATAAGCCTACAGTTTGAGGGGTTAAAGACAAGATGAGCTTCTATTACACCTACAGGCCCATCAAAATATTATCATATTTGTTAGCATAATGTTTTTTTTGTTGCAGATGCTAAAAAAAAAAAAATCATACTCGATTAATAAATAAATAATAAGCCTACAGTTTTAGGGGTTAAACACAAAGTAAGCAGTTACTAAATATCTAGAGGGGACCATAAAAATATAGTGTTGTCATAAAGTGTTTCAGCATGGATACTGAAAAAGTCATACTGGGTTAATAACTGAATAACAAGCCTGCAGTTTTAGGAGTTAAATACAAAGTAAGCATTTACTAAATATCTAGAGACCATAAAAATAAAATGTTGCCATGTAGCGTTTCTTCATAGAGACTGGAATCATACTGGAATAATAAGCCTACAGCTTGAGAGGTTAAAGAATAGGTAAATTTGTACTAAGTATCTACAGGAGAACATTAAAATAAAGCACTATCACGAAGAGCATTTACTTAGCATCTAGAAAAGACCCTGAAAATAAAGTGTTGCCATAAAGTGTTTTATTGTAGAAACTAAAAAAATTATACTGGATTAATAACTGAATTTAACCCCTGTAGTTACAGGGGTTAAATACAAAGTGAGCATTTATTAAGAGGGGACCATAAAAATAATACATTGCCATATAGTGTTTCATCATAGAAGCTGAAAAAAAATCATACTGGATTAATAACTGAATAATAAGCCTACAATTTGAGAGGTTGAAGAATAGGTGAGCTTGTACTAAGCATCTACAGGAGACCATCAAAATGAAGTGTTATCATGAAGTGTTTTATGGTGAATGCTGAATAATATATACTGGATTAATAAATGAAAAATAAACCTACAATTTGAGGGGTTAAAGACAAGGTGAGCTTTTAATAAACATCTACAGGAGAACATCAAAATGAAGCGTTATCATAAAGGGCGTTTCATGGTAGAGGTTAAAAAATTCATACTAGATTATTAGCTGAATAATGAGCCTACAGTTTGAGGGGTTAAAGGCAAAGTGAGCTTCTACTAAGCGTCTACAGGTGGCCCACAAAATAAAGCATTATCTTAGTGTTTTATGGAAGATGCTGAAAAATTCATACTGGATTAATAGCTGAAAAATAAGCCTACAGTTTGAATTCATAGTGGATTAATAGCTGAAAACTAAGCCTACAGTTTTGAGGGGTTAAATACAAAGTGAGCATTTACTTAGCATCTAAAGGGGACCCTGAAAATAAAGTGTTGCCATAAAGTGTTTTATTGTAGAATTTTAAAAATTCATACTGGATTAATAACTAAATAATAAGCCTACAGCTTATAGAAAAGGCGTTAAAGAAAAGCGGTTAGTTTCTAAACACCTACAGGGGCCCATCGAAATAAAGTGTTACCATAAAGTGTTTCATAGCAGATACTGAAAAATTCATACAGGATTAAGCTGGTTAGTTTCATGACGGGTCACTTGAGTCCTTACAGGAGTGTGGTCAGTGCTGTGTGTCGACGGCTGCAGAGGAAGTGCAAAGTCACTCCGCTCCAGTCCCCACGCTGAGGAGGTTTCCTGTGGATAGGGAAGGACAATTCCGTAATGACTGTATTAATATGTATGATGTTAAATGGCCATGCAATAAACCTCCTCGCACCTCACTGTGCCCTAACACCCGTCTCCCCCCCACCCCACATTTTCAAGCGAGAGAAAAAGAAAAAAAAGAGCAAAACTGAAATAATGTCCACTTCCCCCGCTAATTGACACCCATGAGCTAACTAATTCTGATTTGCATAATTCATGAAACGCTCTGCTCTCGGCGAGGCGGTGACCAGCAGTACATAAATATTTTAGCATGGCAAAAGGTCACTCTCGGCCCTAGTCCCTGCATCATTCATAATATGCAAAGTCCTTCCCCAAAGACAGCTGCGGCCCTTGCTTAATTACGCCCGTTTCTTTAATTATGCCTGTCCTCTGTTTTGTTGATACTAATGCAAGGTGACCTTTTTATGGCCACCAGAAATGCCACCAGCATCATCGCGCTCTGCTTTTTTTCTGACTGATGCTGTTTCTCTTTTCTCTCTGATGGAGAGAGAGAGCACAGAGGTAATGTTTATTTGTTCATTTATTTATTTATTTATTTAACATTTTTTCATTTTCTGTTTTTTTTTTTCTTTTTGGTGCCACAGCAGTAATTACAGCATTGGTGGTGCTGTGAAGGTCAGATTTTGCCCCCCCCGTCACATGCGGACACAACACTCATCGCTTTGAACCATCTTCTGCCTTGTTTAGGTGCTGGGGTCCTCGCTAATTGGGAGAAAAACTGTTGCAAAATTCCATATTTGCAGAAAAAATAAAAAAGCGGCAACAGAGTAATTGGCGGAGAGTGGCGAAAGTGCAAATGCTTCTCTTGAATGTCCAAATTGCATATATTTCTGTCTCGAGAGCTTGTCTTGTGCACGTACCTCAGTCATTTGATGCTGAGATGCTGCTGCTGCTCGGTTTTGCTGCAGTACCACTGGTGGCCACATGGTGGCTCTGAAGGTTTAGAAATGCTGAGGAGCTCAGCGTTGTTAGCGCCCTGCTGCTGTGAAGCGCTAATAGGAATGGATGGTCCGAATATCCACCTAAACCAGATGAGAGCGACTGAGTGATGGTCATCCGTGAGAGCCAACACAAAGGCTAGCACCATTTTTTTTCCTTTTTTTTCTCTTTAAATTAAAATGGCCTTATTTCCTGCCAGGTTTGCAGAGGCAGACAGCCCGCTAGGTCAGGTTTATTTTGCTAGTAATAAGGCCCTGAACACAGTGTGCTCTAATAGCATAGTATGTAATGATCTCACACAAACATATACACTCTAATATACCTGTACAGCTCTCCCTCTGAGGCCCATCAACCTCCTGCTCTTAGCCTCCTCTGGTTACCCTACGCAAGAGCAAAGAACCATGTTCACTGAAGGCTCATTTGTTTTTTTTTCCTCTTTCCTTCTGAGCTGTTTGGCTCCGTTGCGCTCATCAGCCCTTTCTCCGTTACAGAAAGGCCGGACGCGGCGCGTCTAACATCCCCACAATGGCACCTCAAGCCTGCGTGAGGGTTTGACACATCCAATTAAAAGCTAGCATGCTATGTGGCGAAAACACGAGGGAAACCAGGCTACCTTCACTAACACCCCGGACATGAAATGAGGAATGACTTGAGGGTCCGGCTACAGTCCATTAGAGTGTTTCTGCTTGGGTGCTCGTTAGCGTCGGCCTGTGCTAACTCACACGCTGACTGCTTACCTGTCGTGAACTCGGTGTGACCTAGTGGAAACCACATAGCTGTGAACTTTATATAGCTGTCAGCTGGCTATACCTCATATTTCCTCATATTTGAACAACATCTGGCTGTTAGCTGAAAATGTGAAACTTATTTAGCTTTATATAACTGTCAGCAAGCCATGATATTATCTCATAACTGAATATCTTCTGCTGTTAGATGAAGGTGTGAACTTTATTTAGCTTTATATAGCCGCTGGCTAGACATATAAGATATTGTCTCATTCGAAAGACATCTGGCTGTCATCTGAAGATGTGAACTATATTTAGCTTTAGCAATACAGCTCTCATCTCTTAGCCATATCTGAAAATGTGAGCTTTATTTAGCATCACTTTTCTGTCAGCTGGCTGTATTGACTCATATTTTAACCACATCTAACTGTTTTGTATAGATAACGATTATGTATAGATGTGAAATGTATTTAGCTTTAGCTGTAAAGCCCCCAGCTAGCCACATCTGGATATGTTAATGTATTTAGCATCACATAGCGATCAGTTAGCTATATTGACTCATATGTTAACTACGTTTGGCTGTTGTCTGAAAATGTGAAGTTTATTTGGCTTTATATACCCATTAGCTAGCCATCTGGTGCTAGTTTGTTGCCTGAAAATGTAAGCTTTATTAAGCTTCATATAGCTGTCATCTGTCATTAGCTATGTAGGCCTCAGCTAGCCATATTGGATATATCTCTTATTTGAGCAAAGCCAGGCTGTTAGTTTAAGATGTGAAATTTGTTAAGCTTTATTTAGCTGTTGGCAAGAAATGTGTGATATTGTCTCATGAGTTAGATGAAGATATCAACTTCTTTTAGCTTTATATAGCTGCTGGCTAGCCATATCTGATATTATCTCATTTAAAAGGCATCTGGCTGTTAGATAAAGACCTGAAC